AATTGTCAAGACTTCGAATAGTGTACGTCCAGCTATGACATAATATTTGTGTATTTTCTTCCTCGTTTTTCCCGGGGTGGCCCAGACATTCTTTCTGCGGCCTGCGGCCTGCGGCACGCCCTTGGAGGCTTGGAGGGGTGGTGGCCCAGGCCCCATACGGCGCTACCGCCAAACTGGCAGGGGTACCGGGCCCCCAGTTGGGTACCTTAGCCAGGTAGGTAGGTAGACCGTAAGGTAGTGGACACCAAGAGCACAGAGCCCCATCAAGACGGACCCACCACCACCGGAAGCTGCTGCGAGGATCGCTGGGGATGTGCCGGGTCCCTGCTGGTCATCTCATCGGCAGCTCCAGCTCGACAGGGTCACGCAGTCATGTCACTGCACCTCCCTGTCACATTTCTTTTGTAGTGATGATACTGCGTAGCAGCAGGTGACGATGTTTGGCATGTCAAGAGACTGGTAAATATTGACTCCAAGTAACCCAACCAACAATACGGATACAACAGATGGCCAGCAGGCCAAGTCATGGACGCGCCGTTCCATCTACACTACCCATCCGTACCAGGCTACCTTACGGTTTCACTGCATATCTGCGGCTGTGGCTTGCGGCAAAGGACAGCGCAGAAAACCATGGACCGGGGGGGGGGGGGGCCTATACGGATATCCCTGGCGATCACCGGCTCCTGTGCCGGCGTGGCGGGGACGGACGCGCGTGCAGGATGGCCTTGCCTTTGTCTCGTTGCGGGCTCCTTGGAAGCAAGAAAACCAAATTGTTCGTCATGTTTGTAGAAAAACGAAGATCCGGGCAAAAGCTGAAATGGAATAGGGTCATCGATGACCATCTTAATTGAGGCTGAGAGGAAGATCAAGAAGATCGAATCAGGACGAAAAGGGAAAGAAAAAAACAGAGTTTTAGGCTCAACACTTGCCGCCCATCCTCATTTCGTTTGTTTAGGTCAAGACAACTATCTGGGTCCCTACTGGGATCGTGACCCTTGGATGCTACGACGGGGAATTTTCAAACTATTTCTGACTTGGTCCCTGGTAGAGAAACACCATAACACCCCTCCGTGGGTCATTTTCCTTGGATATGCCTCAGCGATGAGCATCAACTTCCATGCCAAAGTGATGAGCACAACACACGTATATCTTTTCTGTGCGAATAGGAAGAAAAGAGATGCAACCTGCAGGAGACACAGAGCGGGACGGGGGACATCCGTACGGGGCCCGGGAGTCGGGTCGATGGTGCAACAAGGAAGGAAGCGGCCCTACCCAACCATCAATCCACCCGTTGAAGTCTCATTTCACACAGCCGGCGTCTGACTCTAGGTACGCACCTGGTTTGCTGATGGGTCGTAGGTGGGTTGGGCTGCTATTGTTGTTGAGTTGTTGCTGTTCCATTTGCATTTCGAGTGGCTTGCCGAACTTCCTTTTGCGCTTAGTAACCGCTGTCAGTTGTGATGATCCCACTTCAGCTGAGGAGGGCTACAGATCCCACAGAATGATACAGATCGCCCGCCGCGGAGAGAGTGACACAACGGCCCGGTTGGCTGGACTCGTCGAGGAGGCTTGGAGGCGGTGCTGTACGAAGTATGGGCAGATGGGATGGGGGGTGGTTGCGAACTTGCGGGTATCCGTACGAAGTATGGGGGCCGCGCGAACCTCGTTTAGACAGCCCCTCGGGACCCGAAACTGAAAGGCCATTTGGGGTCTTGTTCTGTTCTGGATGGAGAATGGTGCTGACGTACGGATACCTGATCTCGTGGCGGTGCCATGGGACTTGATGTCTCTCTCTCACTCTCTCACCTTTTTCACGCCCCGAGGAGTAGCCCCGAGGTGAGCCATGATGCTACAGTGTATAGTTATCGACTACTGTATTCTATCCGTCTGTGCCGTCACTGGAGAGTCTGTGTGGTTCATATTTTGTTACTTTGGATTTCTGCTTTGTGATAAGACTGTGGCAATAGATGAGTGACTGTGAGTGAGTTAGTGAGACGAAATGGAGATGGACGGGAGCTTGGAAACATGAGGTGGATGGACCCACCGCACAACCTGGAATGAGGCAGCGGAGTCCCACTAAGGTAAGATACCTACGGACCCGCTAGCCGTGGCGCGCCGCTAGCAAGAAAAACGCTGGGATGATCCAATGCAGAAACGCAGCAGTAGCAGCAGCAGCAGCAGAAAGAAAGGGGAAAAAGAGAACCTAAGAAGGATAAAAAAAAGATATTGGTTGCTACGACGTCATTCTCCCTGTCCGATTGTCAGTGACCCATGCAAACACCTGGACCATCCATCCAGCATCCTCATCCTCACTTTTACCCCCCCGGAGAACAGCGATACGCCTGGCTTTATGCCAACTCAGACAGACCCGTCCCGCTCTGTTTATCCTCTCTCGTCTCTCTCGATCTGTCCATCTATCCATCCAGGTTTGGCTCCGGTGTCTTGGCCCCTGCTTCTGCCTTGAGTGTCTGACGCCCTGTCCGTATTTAGCCACCAGGGCTCCAGAGTCCAGGGCCCCGGGGTGTTTGCTCCATCGAATCTATTGTGACGGCCTGGCCTGGTCTGGAATCATTTGTTTTGTTCCTTTCCATTCTTCCAGACACAAATTGCCGTGTGGATTCGATCAGTCGAGCTAGCTTCCTGACGCTCATCGTCATTATCCGTCTTTTGGCCATCTTTGGCTTCCCGACTCCTCTCCGCTCCGCCAACCTTTCGCACACGTAGGGCCGATTCACTTTTTTCACACCATAGCCCCTTGGCCTGTGACGCCTGCGCCTACGCCTAATTCTCTTGGATTACGGACGGCTTTCTCGAGTACGGCCGCGCCTGAATAGCTCAACAGGACGAATCCCCCGGGTATTGTTCAGTTCCCTCTTTTTCGTCACCTCTCCGGACCATCGGCAAAGTTAGAGAGAGAGAGCTCTGGTTACCTTACCGCGTCATCTTGTCCTCACACACGCATTTACGTGAGATATCTGGGGAGAGAGGAGCCGATTCCCCGTATACTGTACTCCATCAACCCCAGGTCCCAGATTCCGGTTCCAAGTCCCGCCCTCCCTACGACGACCGCAATCCTCCTCCTCCTCCTGTCAAAGACGCAAGGTTCGAATAACGACCCTCACGATGGCCAAGGTCCGCCGGAACAGCGCCATCACCGCGGCCGTCTGCTACTTCATCGCCATCATCTTCCTCATTCTCGTCATCATCGGCAACACCTCCATCAAGCCCGTCCTGACTGACATTTACTTCTTCAAACTTGATGTCTCCGACATTATCCCGCTCTCCTCGGCCAACGCCGTCCTTCTCAACTCTGTAGCCCGTAGCCTGGGACTCCACGACTTTTATCAAGTCGGTCTCTGGAACTTTTGCGAAGGCTACAACGATGAGTGAGTGTCTCAGGTGTCTCCCAAACAAAAACTTCAGCAATGTACTAACACATCTATCACCAGGGGCGTCACCTTCTGCTCAACACCCCAGCGCATGTGGTGGTTCAACCCCATAGAGATCCTGACCAACGAGCTCCTCGCCGGCGCCACCATCGCCCTCCCCTCCGAGGTCAGCACCATCCTCAACATCCTCCGCATCGGCCAGCAGGTCATGTTCGGCCTCTTCATCTCGGGCATCTCCCTCGCCGCCGCCCTCCTCATCGTCACCCCGCTCGTCATGCGCTCACGCTGGTGGAGCCTGCCCATCGCCATCTTCGCCGGCATCACGGGTCTCCTCGTCACCGTCGCCTCCATCATCGGCACCGTCATGAGCGTCGGCGCCAAAATCGCCCTCACCCAGCAGTCCGAGCTCAACATCAACGCCGTCCTCGGCGTGCGCATGTTCGTCTTCATGTGGCTCGCCAGCGCCCTCGTCGACCTGGCCGCCATCCTTCACATGGCCATGGGCTGCTGCTGCTCGCCTAGAAAAGAGAGGGAGGCTGCGGCTGCGGCTGCTGCTGCGGGCGGGGCCAACAACACGCCGGAGAAGACGACCAACACGACTGAGAGCGGCGAGAAGCCGTCGAGGTTGCCGGCTTTTATGAGAAAGCGCAGCCCGAGATCGTCGACGTCGTAAGTAATACTACATGTGGGATATCATGTCGGCGAGCATGGAGGATTCGTCGGTGACGTTTGGCGGGTGTCGTCCCATCGTACAACCACTTGAGGTTGTACTCGGATGGTACGCGTGCTACTCAGGGCGACCATGTGGATGAAATTTCCATACGCAAATGCATACGAGACCTCGAGTCCGGCGGCAGCACCAGCACCTTCGTAGCCGGCACGAAATAAAGGATCTGAAATTGAGCAATGGCGTTGGTGGTTGCGGGTTAATCAGATGACCATGACAATAGACTTTTGGGCAAACGGATAGTCAAGTCGAGACGAACACAAACGTTCGGTAAGGTACCTAGATTAGCATAGTTTTTTTTTGCCGTCTTTATTTGGACAAATAAGTAATCGATATTACTGAAATGCACAAATGTGCGAGGTTCGCGAACCATGGAACAGGATACGTTGAGTAATCCAGCTCAAGACTGCAGCTTCAAATACTTGTACAGTATTAAAGTGTTGATGCAGGAAACCTAAAGCTCCCAACATCGCATCTCTCTACCTTGGAGTCGGTGTCGCGTGGTAAAAAAAGATGTAGTATACTTTCCCCGCAGCGCAGTCCGGGGTAAGAAGTAAAGTACCCCTTATCGGGGGGATTGGGGGACGCGCCCTCGGCCTAGACCCCTCCAAACGACCGTGAGCCTCGGCTCGTTTTCGCAACTTGGGGGAGCGGGAAGCTTAGACGACCGCCGCACCCCGAAAGCTGCTCTTTCTCCTTCTCACATCAGCCGAAGATAGCTCCCGTACCCTTGTATTCCATCCTTCTACATCTACATCTCTCGGTCCTCTTTCCAATTCGGTTGGGATTTGCTTCCAACTTGACAATTGACCTGTGCCAGAAGCAAAGCACCAAACAATAATTCCAAACGTTCACCCCAACGAAATAGTAGGAAATCAGCAGCAATGGACGTCGCATCGCTCTTCAACGTCAAGGTAAATACCAAGCTCCCTCCTCCTCTTCCTCCTCTTCCTCCTCCTCCTCCTCCTCCTCCTTCTTCTGCCCCCAAAACCAAATTCCCAAACACAAAAGCTAACTCCCCCCTCCCTTCCCACACAGGACAAAAACATCCTCGTAACAGGCGGCGCAAAAGGAATAGGCTACATGATCTCAGAAGGCTACATCACAAACGGCGCAACAGTCTACATCTCCTCCCGCGACGCCAAAGCCTGCTCCGCCTCCGCCGCCGCCCTCACGCAAAAGGGCCCCGGCAAATGCTACGCCATCCCCGCCGACCTCCAAAAGCTAGACGACTGCAAACGCCTCGTCGACGAGCTCGCCAAGCAAACGGGCGGGAAACTCCACGTCCTCGTAAATAACTCGGGCGCAGCCTGGGGCGACGCCTTCGAGACATACCCAGACGCAGCCTGGACGAAACTCCTGACGCTGAACCTCCAGCGCGTCTTCACCTTGACGCAGCTCGCCGCCCCCTTGCTGGAATCCGCATCCTCCTCCGGTGACCCGTCGCGCATCATCAACATTGGCAGCGTAGACGGCCTCCGCGTCCCGCTCATCTCCTCGTACGCCTACAGCGCGAGCAAAGCGGGTCTGCACCACCTCTCGCGCGCGCTCGCCAGAGAACTGGGGCCCCGCGGGATAACGAGCAATACCTTGGCCTGCGGACCGTTTGAGAGCAAGATGATGGCCGCCACGCTCGAGACGATGCGCGATACCATCGAAGAGGAGATCCCCATGCGGAGGATCGGGACGCCGCAGGATGTCGCGGGCGCGTGTTTGTTCTTGAGCGGACGGGCGGGTGCGTTTGTGACGGGGGCGACGCTTACTGTTGATGGCGGGATTGTGTTGGCTTCCAAGTTGTGAGTGAGAAGGGGTGAAAGTCATTGTGATGGAAATGTAGAAAATCATGTAGAATGGGAAAAATCGCATCAAAGAGGCTGTTCGTTTTGTAAGCTTAAGATCATGGCTAAATGTATTCAAGGAAAATATGAGAGTGAACGGCGGTCGATCATTGGAGCCAAGTCACTATAAATGTACCGCAATTTGTAAAACAAAAGAAGATTGGAAGAGACCAGATAGACTGGCCATAGTTCTTTAGATAAAAACGTGTAAAGCAAGATCTGGGTAAGACCATTTGTCCTCCTCGGTGGTATTCATACAGGAAAAAAATAATAAAATAAAATGGTGAGCGGAATCCAATTCAACTGGGCCGTGGTAGATGCCCAGAGTCATTCCCTCCCAAAACGCCTAAAGTTCGTGTCCTTTCCAAAGTATTCGTGATGTCAAGACGAAATTCCCCGCAATGCAATGATGCCCCCTGTTTGTTCCGTATGCGCCAGTTGTTGTGAATGTTTAGTGGTGTGGTTGTGTGTGTTTATCATGAATAGAAATCTCCCCAATGATGGACCCGATGAGATGAACCTTTGTCTATCCCCGCCTCTAATCACCGAGAAGAAATGCGAAACCGGTAGAGTTCCCCAGAGACTTCAATGTCGATTAAATGTTGTGTAGCGAGCGGGAGAAGAGTAAAAGCGAGTGAGAGAGTGAGTGAGAGGAAGGGAAAGAGATGGACCGGGGAGGGCCACTCCAGTGACTGGATCTGGTGAGGGGGAAAAGAGCTAAGAGTAGTCCAGTGTCGTCGGTTCAGTGACACGGCAAACTCTCTCTCGCCCTGCTTCCCCTCTGCCCCGACTCCGCCGAAGCGTTCGCGCGGTCCCTCGGTTTCCCTCTCGGCCCCGTAACAGCGTTTCAGCGGGGTCCTCTCATCCGATAAAATTCGGAGTATTCGTTCCTCAAGATGACGGTCTGAGCCAGTTGGACAAAAGCTTTCCGGGACGATGGGAAAAGCTCGGTCGCTTTTGGACTCTTTTTTTGCGTGAACGAACAGGATGCGCTATCCATCTATGAGAGCCCGCAAGACTCAAAGTCGCGCATCATGACGGCCATCTGGGCACGTTTGGCGGCCTCGGCCACGAGGGTGAAGTCGCGGAGGAAGGCCTCGGTTGAAGGGGGCTGCTGGCCGTTGGGTTGGGCTGGCGCCATCATTTGGTTTGTAGACATATGCGAAGACGACGAGGAGATGGAGGAAGTGGAGTCCTGGCGCTTGGGGGACTGGATTGGTGCGTTCATGGTGGGCGGTGGGTGGTGGGTGATGGGTGATGGTGACGATTTTCGAGATGTTGTTATGGTTGTGATGAGATCCTCTCGATAGCGAGAGAAGGTTGGAGTATCCGAGTGTGGGATGATTACTGCGTAGGGCCAGGAATCAAGGTCCGAGAAGGGGGCGAAGGATGGTTGGTGGTATTATATTCCCCAGATCTTCGATTTCGGAGCGCAGATCTTGACTCTTTATGTGAGACCCCAAGTAGCACAGGTACCTGAAAAGTAGGTGATGTCAGGCGGGGGGTGGGGAGGAGGGAAAGGCGGGATCAAGAAGCTAAGAAGGGTGGAATGGGAAAAGTCCGACAAGAGTGAAGGTGCGGAAGATCCCTTTTTGTGAAAAGGAAGGATAGTCGACAGTGAGTGCGGAGTAGACACGAAAAGTACGTGTGGTGTCTGAGATTTTCCCTAAGACCAAGTAACGAGCAGCGGGAATGCCGTGAGGCGTGGGGTGTGTGGGTGAGGCCGGCTGGTTTAAAGTGATCGTGGGACGACCCTGGGTTGTCGGTGACAGGCTATAATTGCGGGACCGCTTGTCTTTGCTTGCAACAATATTGGATGGGCAATATTGGAATTCGGCGCGATTGCGGATTACCAACCCTTGCTCCGGCAGCGGGTAACAAGCCAGACGAGTCGGTGGATAGATTGAGCGAGCGAGCGAGTGAGTGAGAGACAGATAACCGAGCAGGAGGCAGGCCAAGTTTTGGTTTCTCTTTTTTGGCAAAATAGAGAGAGAGGGAGCAAGACTGATTCGCAGAAGTGAGACAGGCAGAAGGGGGATCGGCGATACCACAGTCAGGCGCGGAGGGATGTTGCGACTCTTATGTGTGGGATATCGTTCGAGTGTGTAGCAGCTGAGCCAGGCCTGGAAGACAGAATAAGGCGAGTGTGAGTCGGTAGTCGACGCGGGCTTGCGTAGGTATGCGGGATGGTGTGGGTAGCAGCAGCAGCGTTTCCTTGCTTGAGTGTATGTTGGTAGGATTTTGAGCCGAAAGAAGGCTGGAGCGAGTAGTCTATTGAGCACGAAGTACAAAGTAGAGGACAGACAGCTCGTGCGGGTTTGAGTGGGTGTGCGAGTGATGATGTGATGGGCTTGTCTTTGATTGGGGTTGGTTCGCGGGTTGTCCAGTTGACTTGCTTTTGATCCAGGCGAGGAGCGTGGTGGGTGTGGTTGAACAATTAAAAGTGTGGGAGGAGTGTGGGAGGGATAGGATAAATGTGGTAACTGGCCAGGAAAGCTCGGGGTGGGCGAGTCGAGAGGATAAAGAGAATACCTATCATGTGTGTGTGCGTGTGTATGTGTGCGTGTGTATGTGTGCGCGTGAGTGTGTGTCGTCTGCTTTCCCATCTACCGACGCAAGACCGAGATGGCTGTCCGGGTTGGGTTATTTACTTTGCCAAAGTAAGTGTCCACGGGTACGGAGAGTAGCCGCGGTTGAAGAATCCATCTTATCTCCAGTTCTTTTTTTTTTCTTTTTTCCCTCTTCCCTCTCCCCCGCTGAGCAGAGGAAGACTGAGAGGGAAGAAAAAAGAGGGACGATACTCCTCCGTACGTACGTCTTCACGTTATTTCCTGCCGTCTAATCCATGACACTCAATGCCCTGGACCCGACCAACTCCTGGAGCCGCGATAATAGGTCCGAAGATGGAGGTGGAGAGAGATCGAGAGTTTGGTAAGTTGGTATGACGCCGAACCGCCGTCTGCATGGTTTCCTTCTTTCTCTTCCTCAGTCTCATCGCCCATCGTATTGCCTCGGCTTCCTCTCTTTGCATCGTCAAGGAGACAACGAAGCATGCTTATCCATCATCCCCAATAGCCACCTTCGACGACCCAGCATGGCCCAGCCAGATCAACACCCAGCAGCCTGCTTGACCTGATGTTTGTCTTTGCGGGGGGGAGGTACTTGCAGAGGCACAGGCGTCAGACGTAAAGCCTCGCGGTAAACGTCGCCAAAAGCAGTAACTGAGGACCTCCATGTGCCAAGTACCGGTACATCTTCTCCCATCTGAGGCGGGGGGAAGGGGATTTGCACCTCGTCTCGCGACTCAGCAAAAGCCAAAAAGCTTTCAGGGTCTTTGCGGATCAGCGGCTCGAGCGACCGCTGTGGCAGGTTCGGAAGAACACGCTCACAGTGCTTGACAGGGTGGAATGGGCGCATCCTGAGCGGCGGGAACGGAGGAGAGAGGTCGGCCTTCTCGCCGTCGAGCGTTTCGCAGTGTGGGGTAGGTATCCGTCGAGCCAACTCTTCACAAAAAGGCAGCATGTCATGGTGCGGCGTGCCTTGGTGCTGGTTCCTGGGGGGGGGGGGGCAGGTTGTCACAATGGGCCTGGGCTGGAAGCATGGGGGTGGCCTCGGCTCCCCATGTATCGGTACCTGCGTGTCTGCTTTTCCCTTGATGCGCCGTCAGCGAGAGACTCTGGGCCGTTTCTCCGCATGGTACTGGATCGCATCAAACTGCCCCTGGCTGCGTGATCCTGGAAAAGAAGCTCAAGAGCCAATGCACGGAAGCCCTGCCTCGTTCGATTTCGGCCTAGGACGAGGGAGAGAACAGCCCGACGATGACATGCTCTGCTCCACTTGGTGAGGACCAAGATTGCGCTATCCGTACCAGCCTATGTGATTGTGTGCCCGGGTCCATCAAGGCCCGTCCATCATACACAGTAGGCACAGTACGGATATTGGCCTGCCCTGTTGCGGAATGTCTTCCCTCTCTGGCGTAAGAACGAATTAATGACTGAGAGACGCAGGCGGAAACGGACGATGCGATGTGATGCGATGCGATGCGGTGCGAGATACTCGATCACAGGCTCGAGCAGGATGATGTAGTATCCCGCCCCGGGTGATTGTCCTCAGAGATGATCTAGAGTAGACTGGGCAGTCATATCGTACAGCAACCACTGTGCCCCCTCCTCCTCCTCCTGCTGCTGCTGCTGCTGCTGCTGCAGTTGTTCGGATACCAAGCACAAGCCTCAAGGTAAGGTGAGGTGGTTTCGCGGTGCTGGGTTGGTGCGGGCTGAACTCTATCTTGAACGGGATTGCGGGGGAGAACTCCAGGAGGGGAGGGGGAAATCACAAGCCTCGACCTGTTCCAACATTTCCATCAACACAAAGAGAAAAGCCGGGGAAGCTGCGAGCGATTGGAAAACTCAAAACGACGGAATATCTGGTGGCTCCTGATTCAAGACGCCTCATTCGATTTTGCTTGTGATTTCCCCCATCTCTGCTCCTCTGCCTTCCCCATTGATACCTCCCATTGATTGGGGGCTGAAGCCATCGTCTTCGTCAGCTCTTGCCTCTTTGGCTGAGCAGGCACCTCTTGCCTCACTTTCTGTGGGATGGCTGTGCGCAAAGGCCGTTGGCGGTTGACGTATCCGTAAAAGACTTTTCTGCCTGGGCTTCCCGCTGCTCCTTACGTTGCTTGGTCGTAGATACTCACGTAAGGCAATAAAGCTGGGGCTGGAGTAGTGGCAACGACGATTGTTGGCCTTAAACTTGGTCCATCAGACTCCATGCTGCCAACACTTATCACCGAGAGCCACGAGAAGCCTAGGAGATGCCGGCTTCGGTGGAGACGTGTGAAGAAGAACCGAATGATGTTGACGGCGCATCCGTTTTCTCTGTGGCACTCTCCAGGCTTTCCACCCCACACGACAGCTAGCCTCTTCGGCGCCTCGCCTTAGCTTTTTTTTCCATCCTCTTCCTCTTGGGCGGGCGACCGTCGAACGCGCATGTCCGCCCCTCCGTCGCTTGGGTTTCCGACCTCGCTTCATCCTAGCGGCAAGCTTCCCGTCTGGGGGGGCCCTCTGGGCAGTGGGCTTTGGTCTCAAGCAACGGAAAATCTCGGGACGGAGATCTCCCACGTTTGACAAACGTGTCCCACTTTGGAAGAGAGAAAAAAGCTGCTTTCCCCACGGCTGCCCCGCCAAAACGTTCTCACTGAGTCGCTCCAGCCAAACACGAGGCTTCGGAATACCTTCGGCATGAGTATCCCCCGGAAGGTGAAGGGCGGGTAACACACACTGTGGCAGGATGATGCTCATGTTGGACCACTCTCTTCTGATCCAAGGGCGAGAATCGTGCAATATCCATATGCCGGAGAATGGCAAAAGGAAGAAAAAAAATTCTTGCCTGGATGCCTTGTGCGATCCTTTTCTGATTGACCAGAATTTGATCAGGATCCTTCCTCACATCGAATCTTGGAACGCAGCATTCGGAACCTGGCCCTCCACAGCATGCGTACGAACAGCCAAATGCGCAACAGCATAGTCTCGGACGAACAAGTTGACGACAGCTTGGATTGGGAAGGTTCTTCCTAGCCCATCGCCTAGGACCATGCAGCTTTAGTCGAAGTTAGGTGGGCAGTGGCAGGTCAACCTCGAATTCCGGTAGCAACGCACGTCCAGTGTAAGGTAGTCGCCGTGGTAGACGGCCTCATCTTCCGATTAGCTCGCCAGTGTTCGAGTCAACTCGCCGAGGAGCTGCTCGGCAAGCGTCGAGCAAAATTTGAACAAGGTGCCCATCGAGGTCCAGAGCCATCAAAAGAGGTGTGGAGGGGATGGCATCGATCGATGGGCCATGCTTCCCCTCCGTAATAGCGTCGGCGCTGGCGTAGGCGCATACACTTGCATTTTCTGCACGAGTCGCGCGATCTTCTCATCTGGCATGTCAATACGTAGTGCTCTGTGCCTGGCCGTCATGGTTTTCTGATGTGTGTCTGGCTCCTGTCATCTTTCCAAGGAATGGCTCAATGCTTGCCGGGCAGTGTCCGGTGTGGTGTCAGTGCCCGCCGTGGCGGGCATTGTTCCTGTGGGCGGGTCAGCTTTCTTCCTGCAACCACGTCAAAAGTGACCAGCCATAGTGATGTCGAGGATGGATTGTCAAGGGGCGGAAAACCCGTAACGGCGGTAGGAGAGGCCCGTTTGTGAATGAAATTGGGCGAGGAATTTGACCGAAAGTACCGAGGGTCACCTTGCGATCCCGGAGAAGAAGAGGAAGAAGTAGAGGAAGAACCTGATGCCCCCGGCCCGCTAGAAGGTCTCTCGAACCTGCCCGTGGGAAATTCACCGTGGTTGATCCGGAGCCACTCACCGACGGAAGACACGCTATTATTTGGCAATTCTTCCAAGTTCCGGGGCACGCCGACATCGCCGCTGCCGAGGCAGGCAAATCTGGAATTTGAGCGAGATTCCCATGACCTTTTCAGCCAGTGACATATGGGAATTTCCCAGTCTGATGACCGGGACCTTGTCTGCCCAAGTGACCTGCCAATGTACGGAGTACTTTGGAACAGTACGTATTGCCACGGATATGATCGTGTCAATCAAAAGCTACTACTACGCAGTATGTACGGATACGTTGGGGACGAAAACAGAGTGGGAAGAAGAGGCATAGAGTCAAAGACAGGGATGCCACGAGAAATTCAGGGTCCATCCACGGCGCCGCAAACCCGCTCCGTCTTCCCAGCTGCAGCAAAGTGAATGGACGGCCGCTGGACACGGCTGCAGCTTTCCTGCAGCTGTCCCGGCAGCTTTATCCAAACAACCAAACGGGCGTCCTTTCATGCACTCGCTGTCCATGGCCCATCGGTCCACGGTTCAACGTCTCCATGCCCATTTTCACGAGTGGGATAAGGCACCGAGAAGGAGAAATAAAAACCCTCATGCAACAACACTAAGGTAGCAATTTCTGGCACCATCCACTTTATGCCCCTGCCTCGCCCCGAATGCGCCGAGAAAATTGAGGAGGAGGAGGAGGAGGAGCGGGAAAGCAGACTTCGGGAGCAAAGACCCCTTATCTCGCATGGAGAAGCGATAAATTACTCCGAAGACACAGGATGGGCGGTGTAGAAAGTTGCGCATCGCGACGGGCATAATCGTACAACCACGAATACCTTACGGAACAACAAGCGTCTCCATCAATGCTTTTGAATCCAACCAACCAAACCACGAGCTGTAGAGTACCGGAAACCTTTACCGATTTCCTGACCTCAGGCCCAACTTTGAAGTTTGAGTAATGTAGCTATAGCCTATCGCCCCGCGATTCCGCGAGACCGAGGTACGCCGTATGCCGCAACGCGCCCACTCGTTCCCCTTTCTCCCAGAGCAGCAAATCACACTGACCAGCCACCTAGGTACCGACACCACATCTTTTCCCCCAAGCTCACTCTGCATCCCATCCCGCAGCTCAACCCCCCGCCGAGCTCCGTCTACCGGACACCCGACCTCCACACCCCTCGGCTCAAACTCCCCGCCTCATACGACGGGAGCTCTCCGTTCCATCCAATCCCTCCAACCCACCCCCGGTACTCCTGCCTGCCCGTCCGCCTTCATCATCGACCGAACCGGCCTCGCCGAAAGCAAGCCACGTCCGGCGCCGTCGCCGCCGCCAGCCAGCCATCATGCCGGACAACACCCCGAGAAGCTGGTTCGCCGTCCCGGCCCCCGTCGCCGCACTCTTCCGACGCTTCCCCCTCGCCGTCTACCCTGCCAACGAGCTCCCCCTCCGCAGTCCCTCCCGCGGCGACACGCCGACACTATACGTCTTCATCGCGGACGATGATGCCCCGAGGGGCCGACCGAGCTTCAACCCCTCGTGTCTAAAGTGGCAGGTTCGTTTTGATACCTTCTCCCCTCCCCCCAGCGACATTCCTACCGTCCCCCATGCTTGACCCCCCGTGTTTGCGCGCAACATCCAGCTAACCACCCTCCAAAACAGACCTTTCTCAAAATCGCCGGCGTAGACTTCCACATCGCCCCCTCAACAAATCACGCCTCCCCTTCCGGCGCCCTCCCATACCTCCTCCCTCCCTCCCCGCTCCGTCCCATCGCCGGCGCCTCGAAGCTCGAATCCTACGCCCTAGAAAACACCACCCTCAAGAGGCTGCCCGTGCTATCCTCCTCCTTCTCGACCTCGTCCACGCCCGACGCGGAGCTCAAGGCCCGCGAGCAAGCCTACCAGTCCTTGCTGGACCACCGCCTCCGCGCCGCCTGGCTACACGCCCTCTACCTCGCCCCCGCCAACGCGGACCTCCTGTCGCGGCTCTACATCGAGCCGGCGTCCAAGAACCCTGTCGTCAGGCTGACGCTCTCGCACCAGGTTCGCGCGGCGGCCGAGGCTGAGGTGTTGAAGGTGACGAGGAGCGCGGTGGTGGATGTGAAGAGGGTACACGCCGACGCGCGCGCAGCGTTTGAGGCGCTTGCCGCGTTGCTGGAGGAGAACGGCAGCAGTCGTGGTAGTAACTCAGAGAAAGGGGGAGAGGATGATGGTGAGTGGTTCTTTGGCTGCGAGGGCCCGACGCTGTTTGACGCGTCTGTGTTCTCGTACACGCAGCTGCTGCTCGACGAGGAGTTCGGGTGGGTGGATGCTTCGCTGTCAGAGATTCTGCGAGAGTTCCCTGTCCTTGTGAGGCATCGCGAGAGGTTGCTGGAGAGGTGCTTTCCCGATAGCGAAGAGGGGGTCTTGGTATGATGGGAGCAAAGTGTATAGCAGCTTCAGAGCAAGACAAAGAGGGGAAAATGGAGGTGGAATGGGTCCGAGAGGCTACCGGCTCATCTGTCGTATAAGACAATCGGGATAGATATCCGCCTATAAGTGACGGAATAATATACCATGCAAGGCACGACAGGCCACCGAGGTACCATAGAGGTTTACCTGAAGGCGGCTTGCCAGCTTTTGCGCTTCTCATCTTACACTTACTATACTGCTGTCCCTTTTTGTACTTCACTTCGTACTAATTGCCTTTTCGACATTACACGAACGAAGCGGTACACGCCTGGACGAACCACGATTTCCAGACGAAGGTCTTCTTGGAACCGAACAAAATGACATTCTCTCTCTCTCTCTCTCTCTCTCTCTCTGTCTCCCATATATTTTGGCGTGATCGAGTTGACGTTGGGTCATATTAGGACAGGTGTGTGTGAGTCGATTTTTACACCAGATCTGTATTCTAAGAGGGGGCGGAGGATGCGATTGGATGTTTGTCTAGCATCTAGGTTGGGTAACCCCCTTTTCTCACGCTCGCCACGACTAGGTCATGCGGCTGGCTGGCGGTGAGTGTCATTGATAGGGGTCTCTATCAAATTCGGCCACCCGGCCTGGTTGAATCAGAAGAGCTTTCGAGGTACGTGCCAGGCTAGCGACCATCTCATCTAGGCCAAGGTGGCTTGTTGTTTCTCGTACGCCCTGAGGCGAGTTGCGTGGGCTCACCCGAGGCTTTGCATGCCCTGGTAGGGAAGAGGGATGGTGATGACCCGGCTTGTCGTTAGTCACTCTTCTGAACGGAGATAGTGCGGATCAAAGTTCTTTGAGTACGGAGTGATAGTTCTCTAGGAGACTAAGTTGCCGGTAATATGATTTAGATGACAGGAGTGGAATGTTACTCCATCCTTCCACTGGTTAACGTTGAAAATGTCAGCGCTTGGCCGGTTGATATCAAGAGTGCAGCAAGAGCATAATAAAACATCAAGTTGTGCTGAAAATGTATCAAGATGCCCTCTGATTCATCCATTAGTTGGCTTAGTACAAGGGTCTAAGTTCTTTACCAAAAGTCTGGGACACGAGGATGCAATTAGCAAACCAAATGATAGTGTGAGTATCACGCCTCTACTTGGACATTCATTCCCGTTCATAAAAGGATATCACGGTATATCACGGAATGAGGCTGACACCACGGCTACTCGCGATATTGTCCTGCATCGCGGTTTCATTTTCTCAAACGTACAGGTAAAATGATATGTTCTAAGCAACTGACAAGACTCGTCATCTATCATATCCCCGCACAATAGGAAAACCCTTTCAATAAGACCAGGTATGAAACGGGCTGGTCGTAGTATCACAAAGGAAGTGAAGCATAGGAGTTTTTATTGTTGAAACAAGAGGCACACCGCACACGGGTTGGTTTGCCGTGGTAACAGGTAAGTGGTCAGTTGTCTCTTTGACCACGGACGAGCGTTAGGCATTGGCTGCTCGTGCCCAGACACGAAGTTCTACTTACTTTCTCGGTCGCTGAGTCCCCTTGACACGGAGACGAGATCGTAGCGATGTGTTCCAATGTGTATGCTGCGCTGAACTGTTACAAACCTTTCGCGTACGAGGCCGAGATGGAGGGAGGGGAACTTCTTTATTCACCGTCAACGATTGATTACAACCAGGAGTTTACCTAGATGTTGCAAGGCATGCAGAAAAGTGATTATGCACGCCCAAGCAAGGACAATGAGGTTCTATTGAATCGATGTGGGTCATGAGTGATACCTTGGGAAGTAGCCTGTCTGTAAGTCAAACTGAGCCGCCACAACAACAACCCGACGAATAGAAACAAAAGGAAATGAGAAAACATGATGTAACTTTATCGAAAGAGAGAAAAAAAGAACATGAATCGCTCGAACAGCAAAATATATGATCAGTGGGAGGCTTGAACTCCCGGCCTTGGCATTACACAACATTTCAGGTGAAATATTAGTACCACGCTCTAACCAACTGAGCTAACCGACCAGTTGTTATTGGAGGCCTGAGAGGATTTGCGCATGTAAGTCGTGCCGAATTTAGCCAAGCCTCCGGATCAGAGAGAAGAACCCTTCGTAGCGAAGAGCAAAGCGGATGACGGTTCGAGACATAGTGAAGGAGCCTCACGTCCGTATTCTACAGCTGATCTCCATGTGGCAACCATGTCAGAAGCTCATTCCTTGAGTGAGGCTCGCCCGGCAAGGCTTGGGTCAGGATGAGGAGGAACCTAACAGGAACGAACGGCCGGCTTTCGACAGCGACGCCGTGTTCCCACGGCCACCTGCGTCGGGATGTTTTCCCTGCCCGACTTCCGGTCATGTCTCTCAGTCAGGCCTGTCTATTGCACCGGACCGCGAGACATACTTTCGCATTTTGAGTTGCTGTCACGGTGAAAGGGCGAGACCGGACTGATCGCAAGTAGCGGAAGATCGACAACAACCTCAGAGGGGTTCAGAGTGAACAGAAGAAGCTCGTAATCAATGATGACCCGGCAACATTCCGCGCTGCCAGGAGTTTAAGCGACGCCCCCGCGAAGCGATCCCGGCGCTGGGGGCTGAATATAGCCCCAGGCATGCATACTAATAATAATAGCCGCAGCGAGAGAGCGAGAATAAGAGGCAGCCCCCCAAGACCTCTGTCCCTCAGCCAGTCACATTGGAAGGTCAGCTGCAGCCCATTGCTGCAAGACTGCGTCAGATCAGGTCCGGCGGCTCGGGGTGCTGGGTGCTGAGTGCTGAGTGGGAGGGGGGCGTCAATGACTATCGATTTGTCCTGCAGGGCCTGCATGTTGATGGCAGCAAAAATGTTGGCTCGCCGCTCCCAGCTACTTCGTACTCCGTACGGAGTACACTACCTGCTCCGTCACACAGCCTACCCGTACTCCATACAGGAGTTTGTAAGCTTGCGCTCTGCGGTTCGGAGTTCTATGCAATGGGATTGGGGAGGGAAGTCTATTATCCCCCACCATCAGTGCGACGCTTAATCTGGACGAGGGACGGAGCACAGGCACAACCAGAGGCATGCCATCCGAAGTTGTGGGAACATGACCGCTGCAACCCTTGGACCGGCAGCCCGTTCGCTCGGAGGCAACCCCTCCTGCATTTTGCATTTCCTGGGATTCCAGTTGGAAACGAGATTCCCATCAAGATGCTTTGTGCGTTGCGAGTTCAAGAAGGGGACTTTGGTTGATACATAGAAAGGCAGGCAAGACACGAAACGTCAGTCAGAAGCCGCAGCCATAATCGATCGATGTTGGTAGCTGTTTTTAGACCCTTGCTTGCTGCTTTCACGATGGGTCAAGGATCTCTCTCTCATGTTGTCTGGCACCATCATTCATTCCTCTTCGCCTGGGCGCCTCGCATCTCACGCCATCCGTCCAGTCGTCCTCAACTCAGCCTTACCACGCCAATCTTTCCCCTGGAGAGACATTGCCCGTTGTACAGTCCCTGACTTGTTTTACCGTCCTGTTCACACTACCACCTTAGTTCGCCCGGTGGCAGGTTAGCGTGGACCCCATCCTGAAAGTGAACGCTGAACTCCTACGGACTGCGCTCTACGGACTTGCAGACCGAGACGTTCATTTCCATTTTGTTCCTTGCGCCTCGTCCAATCGCACCTCCCCCACGAAAAGAGCGCGGCCCCGGCAGCCCTACAACTGCTCTCCTCTCTCCTCAGCTGTGCCCCAGCATATCAATTCCCTTCTCTCCCCCCTAATTTCTGGCTGGGCAACAAAAAGACCGAGATGCCTGTCTTTGTGTGATTGATTTTGGGCTTTCCAACTTTCTCTCATCTTTCCGGTCTTTGTACGCTCGTTACGTGTCTTGCTACCGCTCGTTCGCTCGCCCGTACTTACAGTAATCTTGACTTACCTTGCGCACTTACACCACCCTCGCCGACTCGCGAGTCACGGAGGAAGCCCACCTTTGACAAGGGCAACAGAAATATCTCCGAAAGCGAAGACGACAACCGTCCCGATATGAATACGCCGTAAACAATGACGCACAATAGAGGCTTCGGTGCTTCTTACCAACCTCCAGACGCGCCCGGACAGAGACCACGACTGGCGCACCAGAGTTCCAACGTGTCCGACGTCAGCGACTTTGAGAGCCCTTCTTACGACGGGCATCCAGCAACGATTCGTGGGAGGGATTCCCTGGTCTCGCTCCAGTCCTACTCTAATCACACTTCGCCGTCACCGCACGACTCAGACCAACCACTTCACCGGCGACCCTCGACAACTTCCACCTGGACCGCATCTTTTTCCTATACCGGTGCTGCCGGATATTCGTCTCTGCCTCCGTCTTCCGGCCCTGATATCCCTAGAACGCCCTCGCACTTGAGGCGAAATGTTGGTCGCGCACCCTCGCGGCGCGGTCACGAGACCATTCCCGAGGAAGAGCATGACCTCTCCCTCCTGCGCTCCGCCGCACCCATAGGCCAATCGTCGCGGTACGAGTCGGTACCGGCTAACGAACCCATTTTCGATGTAACTGCTGCGCTTGGCCCGATGGGCTATCAAGACGATGCGTTCCTCAAAAGATTGCAGGAGCAGGAGGCGAGCGGCCATCTCACCGGTGGTCTCGGGGCCGGGTTCAGGCCAGACACCACGATCAAGGGCGAGGATCTGCTCTCGTCGTCCCCGTTGCCCAAGAGGTCCTCTCTCACGCGGTCCTTTTCTCGTCGCCAGAAGTTAGGTCGGGCAGCCACCATCAAGGACCGCGGCCAGGATGAGGCCAACAAGCGGGGGAAGGTCATTGAGGTCATCATCGAGGACACCCCCGAGGAAGCCGCTCGGCGGCAGGTAGACCAGGTTGATCTCAGCGTCGTCGCGGGACCAAGCATCATGGGCGACGATGCGAGCATACGGCATGCCACATTTCCCGTCAACAGGAGCCAGAGAACACAGGTCTTTTACCCGCAGCCCAACTGGAAGCCTTTTTCGATGAGATGGCCATATCTCACCGCTT